ATTATCTGCTATACTTTTATTTTTGCTTTGGTCAAGCAAAAATTTCCTACATTACTTACACACAGTTCTTTATTACATTCTACTTTTCATAATTTGTGACATATTTTTAGGCTGTATGTCACAGAGAATCTGTACTGCTAGTCCTCACCATTTCATCAATGAGGCAGTTCAAAAAGTGGTTAAGAACACAACACAAAATCTGGACATAGACTATCAGGGTTTAAACCTCAGCACTATCACTCACTAACTATGTGATCATGTGTAAATTGCTCATTCTCCTCTCTATGCCTTAGTTTCCTCTCTTTTTAAGTATAATAGTAGCTATAGCAGCATTATCGCAGGCTATGCTTAAAAAGATCCTTTTCGTGTGCCCAAGCTCTATAGCTACTTTATGTATTTTCCTTCTGTAAGACCTTCTATGCATTGCAAAGACTCTTAACAGTATTTTTCCAAAATTATATTTTCTTACCACCATATATGCAATCCAATTGTTATAAGTATTCTACTTTTCTTATGATCTTTTAGATTTATTAGATAGAGTATACTGAAGATCTTAAAGAGAATACAACATCCTTCATTGGAGTACATTAACATAATAAGCATAAATAAAAACTATTTCAAATTATTTCGTTTTTCCACATTACTTATTTTAAAGATTTTATTTTATTTTTTTTTTCCTTTTTCTCCTCAAAGCCCCCCCGGTACATAGTTGTGTATTCTTCGTTGTGGGTCCTTCCAGTTGTGGCATGTGGGACGCTGCCTCAGCGTGGCTTGATGAGCAGTGCCATGTCCGCGCCCAGGATTCGAACCAACGAAACACTGGGCCGCCTGCAGCAGAGCGCGCGAACTTAACCACTCGGCCACGGGGCCAGCCCCTCACATTACTTATTTTAAACAGTTTTCCTCTGAATTTCATCCTGAAGATATCACACTAGTAGTTTTCGCCCAAAATGGCATTATTATGAAAATTTTTAAGGTGCAGAGAGGAGAAACCAAAGGAGGTAAAACAAACAAACAAAAGGGTTCTATATTTATAAAATGTTAGATTTAAAGAGTCTTACAAGAAGATGATAGTGCAAGGTGGCAGCTATTACTACACTCACTTATAATGATTAAATATTACTTATCTCTTATTTATTGAGAAGTAGTAATGTTTGAGTTATAAGTCTCCAGCTATGAAGTGGTAATAAAGAACATAGGCTCTGGACCCAGACTACTTGGGTTGGAATTCTAACTCAACTGCCAGCTAACTGCATGATCTTAAACACAAATTACTTAATCTCTTTCCCTCAGTTTCCTCGTCTATAAACTAAATACTGTACTGGTCAGGTACTGGAAGAAACAGAGGGCACACGAAATTGAATAATTCTAAGAGAGTTTAATAATAGAAATATTTACAAAAGTATGCACTGTCTCTGAAAATCTAGGGCAAACAGCAACAGAGGCTTCATTATCATGCGTAGGCCTACAGAGGTAAGGAGGAGAAGCAGATGCCTAAACCTAGAGACAGACAGGGTTCTGTGGAAAGGGTTGTCTGACAGGTGATAAGACGTTGAAAATGTAGCCACTCTGGGGTGACCTTGTAGGGAGGGAGCTAGCTCAATAAATATGCCCCTGCTTCCTCATTTTCTCTGATCTTCTGCCAATGCTCTTGCAAGGCAAAAACCAACAGAAGCAAAAGGTCAAGGGAGCCAGTTAATGTCTATTGCCCAAAGGAGGCTAGAGAAGGGTGTAGAATGGATCTAGAGGGGAAAACAAAGACAGCCAGGCCAAGTGCTTCTCTCATAAGTTTGACATTAGGCCTAAATAATACTACTTTTAAAGTGCTTAGAATTATAACTGACACATAGTAAATTTTAGCAATTTATCATTTACCTACTCTCACTTTGGTTTTACCTCCTTCTATGTTTCCTCACTAATATGTGAAGAAAAAACACGGAAAAAATTGTTTGACCCTGGAAATCTCGAAGATAATATTTTTATGTAAAAATAAATTATTTAAAAAACCACTGCAATCCTTTATGCTAAAAAACCCAGGAATATGAAATTTTAGCCTCATAGGTAAGCCACTACAAAGCTGAAAATTCAGAAAACCTATCAGTGACTAATAGACATACAAATGGAAAACTTTGAGGAAAAACATATAACGACAATGCTAATAAACATTATTTTAATTAATATAATACAAATATGAATTATATCTAATTAAACATAAGATGCTTGTTTCTAAGGGACTTATAGGTAGAATAGGAGACATAAGTCCAATAATTGCAATACAGAGATAGAAGCACTTGAGATATGTAGAGAGTTATATAGGGCTATTATCTTGGAGTCTAGTAATGAATATATTTCTAGGCAAAAAAAAAAATACAACTAAAGTTTAAAAAAATACAACTAAAGTTTATAGCATTCTGTTTAGTAATTATTTCCTAACTACTGCCCACAATTAGAAAGCAGGTGATGGCTATCATCTGGGTAGAGGGAACTTCAAGAGTTCTTCGGTGTCTTACCTTTTTCCTGGATCCATCTCAGGGAGAAAGAATTTATTCATATGACTGGTTATATTAAAGAATACTTTCTGGGTCATCTTTGACAGCAGCTGAGTCACTGCAGGTTAAAAGGTCATTCATGTGGCTGCTTTATTCTCTCCTTCTCTTTCACCAATATGGCAAAAGTGAAGAAGAGAATATTTTCACATAGGAGGAGGCCTGGCCTTGTTGCTTCCTTGGAGCTTCAGCACTCTCTTCTCTTTGATCTTTCAATAAAGCCAGTTGGTAGGCAAACTTGGGTTAAAGCTCAAGGAAAGAAAGGGCTCCACAGGTTTCTAGTCAGGCAAAATGCTACAGTCTAGCTTTTAATTCTCCTTTAGGGTTTGAAACACAGCTAAATTAACCTAAGGCTATACTGCTCTCCTTTATCGTTGCCCCTTATGAGTACATCTCTTCGTAAATCCCATGGAAAATGGCATGGCCATGTTCAAAAAGGTATTCTTGCATCATTTGGTCCAGCAATACCTATCATTAGAACCTGACATCATTTGTCATCAATGATGAGGATAAATGTAATATATTCCTTTCACGTGACCGCATTCTAAAGTACAGCATTGTCACATTTATACAGATAAGATATCCAACAAATAAACATTTGAAAAAGACCCCACTTGGCTCTCTCTCTCTCATACACACAAACACACAAATACATACACAAATACACAGAAAAAAATCCCCGGGCAAGAAGAAAAATAGTTATCAATAATATCATGTACTTCACAAAAAAAGTGGAACTAGTCTAAATACTAGAGTTTAGAAACTAATAATGCCTAATAATTTGTAGGCAAATTAATATTAATACTTTGTGCTTTGTTACCAGTGTGCTATGTGATATTCTAAACTGTGAGTGCAAACCAGGGCAGAGAAAAAAAGGATGCCTCCTAAAGTCAGCAGAGCAACATAGAAGAATCCCACAGGAGTCTAGCCATTTAATGGAGAAATAGCCTTTCATATGTAAACACAATTGTTAGGTCATTATGAAAACGGGAAATGATAATTATTAATTTATACAGAAAAGGCACAAAAAATATAACTCCTTTCAGAGATTTTTTAATGAAAATAATTCAAGAAAGTATGGTTCTTTGAAATTCATTTGTAAAATGTAACTTATAGAGAATGTTTTCATTCCTTAAAAATGTTAGATAAATTAATCCACTATTAATTGCTCAGAATTAATATTCAGAAGAATGACTAAGATGATGACAAATTATTTTTTAAAAGGCAGTGTATTAAAGATGAACTCAGTTCTAAGTACTATATAAATATTCACAGAAACTAAAATAAAAATCACATTGAACATGGACTTCATATCATGATACTTTCAAGTTTGTTAGATAAAACTCTTCTTTAGTTAATACATTATTTATAAGAGAAAGTTGATGAATATCTTTCGATAACCACCATCACCAATAGTAAGTCAATTGAAGCTGCCTGGTTTAAATAAGAATGCTTCACTCTAAAAACTGGGATTTACAAATTTAAGTAACAAAATAAAAAGTAAAAAATTTCTTTCTAACCATAGTCAAAGTAGGATTAAAAAACCATGATGATATATACATATACAGTGAGATTTCTTCAAGCTATCTTTGAAAAGCAAGGATACGTACAGTGGTCTTATCAAATTCAGCCTCAGACGATGTTGGTGACAGAGGACTTATGGGGCTTAGAGATGGAGAGCTCTCAACACTGGAGACATATTCAGGATCAGGAACATATAAAACCTGTAAGAAAACGTTCACACAGGATTCAGGAAAACTGAAATATTAAACAGATGGTGTTCTATAAACAAGTACCATTAACAAAGACCTTCAGCAATAAATAGAAAAAATAAAAATCTTCAAATTAAAAGAATATTTCTCACCATAATAATTCTAACAAAGTAAGAAAAAGACATTTAAATTCAATTTAGACAAGTTGGATAATATATACTGGATAATACATACTGTCAGGGAAAGGTGGGAAAAAAATAATTCTCATACACTGTGGGTGTTCCTCGTATAGGACAATCTGGCAATAGCTAGCAAAATCTAAAATGCACATATCCTTTAACTCAGCAAATTTACTTCTAGGACTTTACAGAAATACCTGCATATAAAGAAAAAGAGATATGTACAACAGTGTTCCCTACAGTAATGTTTACAACAGCAAAAGAGCAGAAACAGCCTGAAGCTTATTGTGCCTAAGCAGTAATTTCTATCAATACAGTGCTACACTATACACACATTAAAAAGTCTGAGATCAAGTTGTGCTTAAGTAGAACATTTTCCAAGAATCAAAGTTAAATTTAAAAAAAAAGGCTAGAATATTTCTGGAAGGGGATATAAATTGATAACTGTGGTTGCTTCTAGAAAAGGAACCTGGAAGTCTGAGATACGATAACTTACCTCTAAAAATTAATTTTATCAATCGTGTACATGTACTGCTTTGAATATTTTAAAAAAGCTCTTTAAAACTGTATTTGAAAAGACAATACACAATTATTTTCAATATGTATTAAGAAAAATTTGGATTGGGGCCGGCCCCATGGCATAATGGTTAAGCTTGCGTGCTCTGCTTCAGGGGCCTTGGGTTCACCGGTTTGGATCCTGGGCATGGACCTACACATCACTCATCAAGCCATGCTGTGGCAGCGTCCCACATATAAAATAGAGTAAGACTGGCATAGATATTAGCTCAGCAACAATCTTCCTCAAGCAAAAAGGGTAGGATTGGAAGCAGATGTTAGCTCAGGGCCAATCTTCCTCATAAAAAAAAGAAAGAAAGAAAAGAAAAAAATAAAAATTCATGTGGATATAAGTGACAGTTAATTTTCTCTTCTAGAGGCAATATGATTTGTTCAAAGCATGCAAAAAAACCATTCTTCTTAAGTTTTCTATATTGTTACCTATACTGCAATGCATACTTTCTGTCTTGCTACTTAATGATTCTAAACACCAATGCATTAAAAAACATATATACCTGTCCAGTAACAACTGCTCGGGAGAATAACTTATTTAACTGAACAAGTTCGTTGGGCGTTGTATCAAATTTCAGGGCTATACTATTCAAAGAATCCCTTGATTCAACCAGTTTAAAAGAAAAAATAAATTATTTTAACCTGTTAAAACAGAAAAACTAAACTATGAGGTTTGATGATCATTAATATGTCTATGGAGCAATCTTACATTTGATTAATAAGGGATATTTTCATCTTTGGAGATGAAATAACTTGAGAAATTCTGTGTTTTGTTAGTAAACGGTCTCAACCTATTACGATACAGAGTATATGCTTTATCACAAGACATCACAATTACATGTGGGCCTCTACTTCAAACAATTTCAAAATACAAAATATAATTTACAAAATACAAACAGGTGATTTTTATTTTACAAAGGCTTTAAAACAATACACTATTCTTTTAAATAGTTTCTAAAACTTATGCAACTTCTGGAAACATACAATTTCATTTTAGCGAAGTATGCCTATATTAAACTTAAAATGCTATTTCTAACGATCTTTATGTATATATTCTGCTATTTAAATGTATAAATTAGAACACATATCTGAACCAAAGTTGAGTAACTGGTTTCTGAATAGTCAGTATATTGTAATGATCATATTTATAGAAATCTTAAGTCATGGGATTTTTCCAATTATCCTGAAAGAAAAAGTAATCTGATCAATCAATATATTCCTTTAGAGTCCTCTATACATAGGCATTATGAGAGTTCTGTAGAGAATAAAATTAAGTGCAACTAAGTCATTTGTATGCAAGGGATTTACAACCTAGTTGGAAAATAAGAAACACAAAAAAGCTTATATAAAAGACGAAAAGCAATTTAAATAAAACAACAAATGCAATAAAAGTGTTGAGTATGGAAAGAGCACCATATTTGTTCCAAATTGTCCAGGAGAGACTTTATAGGAAAGATTTAAAGCTAGATTTTGAAGAAGAGGTAGGAATTTTGAGAAGCAGAGAGAAAGAAAAGAACATTCAAAGTGAAGACAAGAGAACTGACATGTTAGGAGACAGAAAAGTACAAAACACATTTGTGGGATACTATCTCTTCCTCCTAAACCATCCAGAGTATACTTATGAATTTAGGATTTTAGGAAGGTGAGAAACTAAAAAGAATGAGATTGAAAGCATATTCAGAATTAGGCTATAGAAGATTTTAAAGGTCAGAAAAAGTAGATATGTATGTGGGTGTAACAAACAATGAATATATATATATTTTTAATGGTCCTGTAAAACCAAATTTATGCCAAATACATGGGTTAATAATCTATCTGTGCTTCCTTCCTTCTGTGCAAACTTCCCCATCTATCCAATAAGATGCTATATCATCTACCTTATTGAGATAATATATGTAAAAGTTCTCTGTAAACAAATTTATTTTGCAGTAACATCTGTAAGTTTACAAAGTATTTTCATATTAATTACTACACATTTTACCCTTACAAAGACCCTATTAAATGAGGTGATGAAGGTAATAAAAAACACTAACGTTTATAAAGCAAGTAAGTTACATGGCCGGAGTGGCATCTTAGATTAGTGGCAACAGGTCTTGTATTAAGGGGACAAGAGAATGGATGCAGAAGATCCAATGTAATACTACTGCTGTAGATCAGATTTAAGATAATAAAAATGTAAAGAAAGAGATGAACGCGTAAGATTTTTAAGTAAGACAAGAGAAAACACTCACGGATTGAAGGAAGTTGTGACGATGGTAGTAGTAGAAGTAGATAAGGGGAGCAAATGTTAATGAGCAACTGATGCTGAATCCCAAAATTCTAACCCGGATGAATAACAGACTGAAGGGAAATGGAAATAAGAAAATTGAGCACTAGGCAAGGATGCAGAAGGAACTGGTATGAGGTTTGTTTCAAATTGTTAAATATGAAGTGATAGTAGGAAACGTAAGCATCTAGAAAGGTAGGAATAGCAAAGTTTGGGTCTCACTCCACATAATTTATATAGTAAACTTCTTAAGCTCTCCAAGCAATGGAATGTAAATGGACAAGTGAAAAGAAACAAGAGAGGACTCACATTTGGAATCAAGAAGAGCAGAACAGCCAACAAAGGAGACAGGCAAAATGATAGCAGTAACACCAGGGCAATGAATCATAATGATAGCCATATGTAGTACAATTAGTTTCAAAAACAAACAGAGAAAGGAGGGGAGGATATAATCAAAGAAATAATGGCTATTTTCCAGAATTTATGAATGATATGATTCCTTAGACTGAAGAAACAAGATAAGCAAGATAAAAATTTGTCTGAATCTAGACTTATTATAATGGCACTGCAGAACTGTAAAGACAAGGAGGAAACTTCAAAAACAATCTAAAAAAAGAATAAAGACCGCCTAGAAATGAACAAAAATAAAAAGGCAACAGAGGGACATAAGACAGTGGATTATATACTTAAACTGCTGACAGAAAGTAACTGCCAACCTAATAATCTACAGACAGCTCAACAACCAGGAATGAGGGTGCAATGAAGACTTTTCAGACATTGCCTGACTATCCATTCACAGTTCCTGAGAGAACTATTAAAGGACCTTAAGAAGAAAAGTAAAACCACAAAGAAGGAACAATGAGCAGGAAGCAACAACAAAGAAAAGACTGCTGGGTTTGATAATTAAAAAATCATTAGTGACCTTGGAGAAAGCTTTTTCAGTAGAAAAGTATAGGGATATTACATTAACTAGGAAGAAAATGATAATGTATAGCATTTTCAAGGTCTACTTTTCCTAGTGAAAGTGATTTTACAATTAAAAACAGTATGTGTGCATGCATATATATACACACACATATTATGATTTTAACTTTAAAGCTACCTAAAATACAAACTAATTTATACTATATTTAGGGGGTCTGGAAATAGATTTAAGCTACATCATAAATATTTTAGAACAAAGACAGTTTGAGAGTACTTTGTGATAGTAAATATTTTATTTTAAGAGAAATATAGGGAAATATTTTCCTAAATACAAAAATCATGTTTTATATGAAGATTTTACAAATTATAATAAGAACAGAATATAAGACAATAATATCTCACTCAATTTTACAATCATATTTGTTTCTTTCTTTTAGAATTTGGCATAAGGAATATAACATAGAATTAAAAAAATAAAGTCTAAACAAAGAGTGCTAGCAGATGTTTTATAACCTTGTTGATCAATACTTGATTATTTCTCAAGGCTCAATTATAACATTAAGAAAAAAAATATTCTCAAGTTTCAATTAACCTTCCACTAAAAATAATGGTCCTTAAGTTGAATTTAATTTTGCTACAGGTAATGCAAGTTCTATTGAATTACAATAAAAGAATGGTAAACTCCTGAATTTAAAACTAACTAAACTTTTACAGTTCTTCACAATCACATGATTACATGTGTAGATAACATCTTATGCCTCATGCCTATAATCTTATGCCTTAATAATAAACGCTAATGAATACATTAAATTATATTACCCAATATTTTACTGTTTGAACATATTTTCTCAATTTCTCAATCATGCAGAGAGGGTACAAGCACACTCAATTTAAGTTTATAACATGCTTTAAGAAGAAATTCTTTTGATAGTAGTAAATATAATTCTACCCTAAACTACATGGTTCCTAACCTTTTTAAATACTTAAAATCTCGAATTGTCAATTATACAGTATAGGAAAACAAGTGTAACTCAAAGTTTTGAAAATTTGTTCAATTTTAAGGATTCATGGAAAATAAGACTCAAATCAAGACTGCTTCATGATGACACAAATGCATAAATTGTTTAAAATTGCTATTTCCTTCTTAATACAGTTATATTACACAAACAATTAGAAAAACACAAAATAATACAAAATTGAGCTGAGCTAAAAAAATTGCTTTATAACATGTTAACACTATCTAAATAAACAATATATACATTTAATAAAAGAAGCAGTACACTACAGACTAAAGTTAATTTCTCACTTCAATTTTTCATAGTATCCAGAAACGTGAAAAGCTGACTCCAGGGAGATTTGAGGATAGAACATAGGAGAAAGCCCCATTTTCAGAGCTAAATAAACTTAGGTATAAATCACTGCAAATAATCTAATGTGAGAGGTTATTCTGGAATATTAATATCAACTTATTTTTTAAGTCTTCTGTCTGCCATTTTCATTATCATTAGCACTTCCGGGAATATAATGAAGACCACATTTTTAAAAAACTATTTTCCTAAAAGCCTGACCTAATAAAAATTATTGGAGCACAGGAACTTTGACTCCCAGTAAATTATCATCTATGTTACGCTGAATTTGCTGGAATAACTATCATTGTATCACACAATAAAATTTCTCTTCAAGAAAAAAAATCCTAAAATATAATCAAGAACTCAAGTATTATTATTAATAAAAAAGTTATCAAAAGTGAAGCACAGATTTTTTAAAATAAGGCAATTAATAACCCCTGTCTTATTTATAGTATAAACAAAGAATGTCCAAAATAAGACTATTGCAAAGATAAATCAGCTTTTTCAAAAGCAAATAACTTACAGCATACTCAATAGTGCCTTTAGGTTTCTGAAAAGACATTCGTCTCCCATCTTTCTTGTCTAGGGTCTTCTTTTGGCCAGTGTCTGAAAAAAAAAGATGAGGTAAAACTCCTATTAAATTCATTTTCCTTTCAGAGTAATGTCAAAGACTGCTAAACAGAGCTCATTGGGCACATATCTACTAGATCTACCAGTAATAACAGTTTGTTCCCTGGGGTTCTCGGCTCTAAAATACAACCAACAGTGGAAAAAAGCAAATGTACTTCCTCTCTGCCTGTTTTAGGAACTGACCAGTATGAAACACTATAATAACTAGAAGTCAATTTAAAACATAGTAACTGTCAACAGAAAGGAAGTTATTAAAAACTAAATTATGGATCATTTCTTTCAACACATCTAACTCAATTATAATAAACTATATTTGAAGATATATATTATTATTATTATTAACCAAACCAAGTCTGAAAAATGTATCAGCAGTCCTCACAGGAGAAAATATTTATATTTCTACAATCATAGTTAAAGATAGAATCTTCTCTATGGAATTATTTTAAATTATTAAATTCCTTTTTTATATACCATGAAGTAAAATAAGATATGCTTCCATATATAAACACACGTTTGTGTATTTCATCTCAAATAAAGTGTCAACTATTTTTCACTTGCTTATCAAGACACTTCACTTGAACACGTCATTATCATCAAGATTATGCTATGTGTTTCAGTTTAAATTTTGCATTAGTGTTAACTTTCTCATCTATAGTTCATGTAACAATGATTGCACTGAATTGAAAAAATACTACTCCTATTTAGACAATTTAGAATGATTAAAATCAATCTCTAAAAAACTAATAAAAACCTAAACCTTCAAGATAGTAAACATAGCAAAATGCTATATTCACTCCCAACATTTTATAAGATTAAAACGATAGTGTTCAAAGAAAACATTAGTTCTACCTAAACCCAAATAAACTAGAAATTATCTAGTTCATTGTTCTCCTCCTATCTAATCTTAATTGACATTTTGACCATGCTAGAATTTGTTTATATGTACCTAATTAGCTCAGTTGGGTGCATGGTTCTAATGAAGCACTAATAATAAAAAAAAATAACATTAATAATCAAGTTTGAATCCCAAAAAAGTCAGTTGACTCTGCAATGCTTAAAACAGCTGTCCTAAAACATTCGTGATCACCCAGGCTAAACCAAGTCTCTGTTATCAATCACATAACATCTTTATGTCTCCTTCATAACATTTGGCACAGTTATAAGTTTCTTTTTTAAATCTCGTCCACTAAACTGTAATCTACAAAACACCATGATTGCTTTGTTTCACAATGCCTCCTTGGCACCTAACAAAAGGTCTGACACACGGCAAGCATCCAATTTGAATGCACTAATGTTCTGAAGCAACAACCTGACTGTATCTAGAACTTCCACAATTCTTATAAATTGGCATTAATTTTTCCATAAAGAAAAGTATGCATAGAATTATGGTTCAGCCATTACAACTCTAGGGGGAAGAAAAACCATGTATATGAATATCCTACTTTTATATCCTAAATATTTAAAGAACTCTTAAAAACTGAGGGGAAAAAAACGAAAACTCACGAAAATAGGCAAAAGATATGATCAGACTATTCACAGGGGATGTAAAAATGGCCCTTAAACATATAAAAATATGTTCAATCTAACTCATAATTAGAGAAATGAAAATTTAAACTACACTGAAATACCATCTTACCTACCAGATTGGAAAAAATTCACAAGCTTGACTATATACTGTTTGGCTGTAGAAAAAGAGGCATTCTTCTACATTTACAGCGGGAATGCAAAATGGTACAATTCTTATGGAAAGAAATACTACTTTTGCTTATCGCTATATTCTAACTTTTCTCCATTGAATAGCATATATTTAAATTTGATTTTCTAATAATAAAACATTAAAACTATTTTAAAATAAAGTTTTAAATAGTTATTTAGTTCTGCTATTTCATAAACAGCAGAGGGAGCCAAAAACACTTTCCTCATTTTGCAATTTAAACTTCTTAAGCAATGCAAAATACAATTATAGACTACTTTTAACTAATAAAACACATCTCTCCTTAATTGATTTTAGGAGTTACCATTAGTCTACATTTACTTGCCTAACATTAGTTTCTCAATCTCAAGAGTTCATTAAACATTTAACCACAATCAAGTTTGCAATTGCTCCATCGTTTTTAAGAGTGCGCCATGGAGCGAAGTTCAGAGCAAGAAAACTAATATAACAGCTTTCCACAGTTGAAAGTTTGAAACGAATTGAAAATATTCACTCTAATAACCTAAAATTATAAAATATTTTGTAACAATTTTTATTATAAAATAGTTCTAAATTTTAATTACCAATATTAAAACATTTATTCATAAATATAAGTACCAAAGCACAATGAAATAAACTGATCATTCTCTTCTATCAATATGAAAATACAATCACAAAGTCACAATATTTGAGAACTGAAAGTGATCACAGTTGTCACATAGTCTGGTCTCTTACTAAGTAACTTTATAATACCCTTTTAAAGTCAGTTGTCAGCAAAATATGAATCTAGATTGGGAGTACAAAGAGGAGAGGTCTTATTCTTTCTCCTCATAAAAGTTATTACAGTTTAGAAATATATACAAATTTTGATTTATTTAATCATCAAAATAATAGTTAACATTTATCAAGTACCTAGTACATGCCAGGCACTGTTCTAAGCACTTCACACTTATTACCTTACCTAGTTCATCAACTCTATAAAGCAGGTATCATTTTTACCTCCATTTTACAATGGAGCAAACTAAGGTACATTTTTGGTTATTACAACTGGGAAAGTGTTACTGGCAACTAGTGGGTACAGGCCATGGATACTGCTAAACAATGCACATGACAGTCCTCCCATAACAAAGCAAAAATGTCAATACTGATGAGGTTAAGAAAACCTGCTATATATCCACCACCTAATATTATGCCTGGCATATAGTTAGGTGTTCAATAAATATTTGATAGATAAATGAATATACACAACTTTCTCTGAGATATAGTTATCTTGGTATATCGGAAAGAGCAAGGGAGTTAGATTTTACTCCATCATCACCAAAAGCAGAAACTTAATATATGTAATCTAAAGCAATTCCCATCTAAACTGAGTCCTACAAGTTTTGATACCTGTGTTTTAATAATTCAGTCCAAAATATTATATGATTCTACTCTAATTTCTTGTTTTGCTATTTGGAGAATATTGCTTAATTTGCCAATCTATGACAATTTTTAAAATTTATCTTTTGGTTACTGATTTCTAGCTTAATTGAACTGTGGTGAAAGAAAATACTCTAAAGAAGTTCAAACCTTTGAAATCTGTTGAAAGTTGCTTTATGAGCGTATGTAAATTTAGTAAATGCTCCATATGTGCTTGAAAACAATGTGGATTCTGTACTATAGGGTAGTGTTATCTGTGTGTGTGCGTGTGTGTGTATGCACACACACACACACCTGTCTCCACATGCATCATATTCAAATATTCTATATCCATATTGATTTGCTTTTGTACGCTTATTCAGTAAATTACTGAGGGGGCCTTTAAAATTCACCACTATGATTGTGGGCTATTTGGTTCCTTATAAGTCTCTTTACTTTGCTTTCTACATTTTGAGACCATGATATTAGGTTCATCCAAATGAAGAATTGTTATATCTTCCTAGTAAATTGAATTTTTCCTCAGAATACTTTTTGCCTTAAAGTCTGCTTTGTCTGATATTAATTATATCAACTTTCTGTCCATTAGTGTTTGCTTTTTCTTTCTACATGCTTTCAGCCTTTCTTTACCTTTTTGCTTTAAATGTCTCTCTAAACCAGGGCCTTTTTATTTGCCTATTTGTTCTATTTTATTTGCCTGTTCTATTATTCTCCTTTCTTGCCTTCATTTGGAGTATTATTTATTAATTTTCTCTTTTCTCTCATTAATTTGGAATATATACATTCTTTAAAGATTCTGTTAGCAATCGTCCAAGAAATTACAGCCTGAATTACTGACTTACCACAATCTAATATTTAACTAGCACTTTTATCCTCTTCCTGGACAATGCAAGGACGTTTAACACTTCCAAGATTTATATACAATTGTTATTAGATACTTTAATTACATATATATATCTAAAAAACAGTATAAGACATTTTTCAAGCCAGTAAATATTCATTTAGTTTTACCCTCATATTTACCATTTTTATGGCATCTCTGGGTAATTTCACAGGGAACAGAATTCTAGGTTGGCAGGTATTTTCCCCTGCCTTTTAGTTTCCACTGTTTCTGTTGGGAAATCAACTGTCAATCTTATTGCTACCTCATTGAATATTTGTTCTGATCCTTTTTAAGATTTTTCATCTTTGGTGGGATCTATATTGATTCTACTAGGAGTTTGTAGGGATGCTTGAATCTGTGAATTAAAGTATTTCCTCAGTTTTGAAGTTTTCACTCATTCTCTCATTAAATTCTGCCCCATTCTCGCTCTTCTCTCCTTTGGGGACTCAAATATACATACATTAGAACTCCTTATTATATCTTGTAAGCTTACACTCTCCTATATTTTCCATTCTTTCGTCCTTCTCTATTTGGGATATTTTCTTCTGACCTATCTTTCAACTCACTAATTCTCTTTTCTGTGGTGGCTAATTTGCTGTAAAATACATCCAGAAAGGCCCTAATTTGGAGGATTACATTTATCAGTTCTAGAATATCCATTTTTCTTTTTTATCTTACCTTTCTACAAAATTCTCAACACATCTATTTTAAATCTGATAACTATGACATCCAGAGTTCCTGTGGATCTGTTTATATTCTCTGCTGTTTCTGATGTCTTGTCATTTGCCTAATTATATTTTGTGTGTTGGATACTAAATTTGCAAAATTGTCTGTAGACAGAATTTGACTCATAGAAAAAGCTGTTTTCTCCAGAAAGGATTAATATTTGCTTCTGCAAACACCTGAGAACACTAACAATGCCAGATCTTGTTAATGAAGTTATAGGAATGATGATTTGAAGCTGAGTATCATCCCACAAGAGCC